CCCTGATATTGATTAACACTTTCTACTTCCAATAAGAATATTCGCATCTAGAAACATGACCTAATATCAACCTAGCGATCGAAGAGGCAATTGCGGACTGTTCTACGTCGATCCTGGTGGTAAGGACGTAGTCACCGTTATCATTCCGGACGGGGGTGGTAAGGATGCCTGTGTCGACAGATTTGTGCAGGTTAAGCATCAGCCGAGAGACGAGAGCCACGGACACGCTAGAGTGCATAGTCAGAATCAATCCGTGTTTGCCGCGTTAGATACTCACCAGCTAGTTAATGTAGCCAGACTGCCTCTGGTGGTATTCTTGCCAGTCGCCAGCAATAGTTAGTCAATCTTATCATAAGACGCGGGTGTGTGCTCACTGGACCACACTAAACCGAGGAGTGAGCGTGCGACTCGACAGATATTTTATTAGTAAACTCACGTAGGACATCAGAATATTAGGTAGATTAACCAATGTCATCACCCTAAATGGAACGCGGATCAGATTTATTCAAATCACCGTTTCCCTAGCAAGCTCACGCGAAATACATTGCGCCTGCGTTTACTTAGATCAATGTTTACGGTATCAATACAGCGAAAATTACCATCTTGAAACATGATATCAAGTAGATTTCTCCTCGATGTTATCAGAGACAGTCCTCTAGTTTTGCATATCCTGTAAACTGTGAGGGCAAAGATGAGTAATTCGTAGAGAAGTAGTGTCGTCCATCCCAACCCAGGACCTGCAATCATAGCATTATGTTCCACGCAAATCCTACTGCGAATTCACTAACTGACGGCTCTGCAACATCTTTTGAGCAAGCACGCGGAAGGGTGAGGAAGATGGCGCACATCTTTTCTGAATATGACTCAAAGCAATTGAATCCTGGCACGAGAGTGCTTGAACGGAGTTGAAGCGTCGCCACCTATAAGCCATAAGTAGACTCTCAGAGTACAAAGGCTTATGCGAATACGTACAGTCACTCCCCCAAGAACAGACCGATGATTACCATCCAAGCAAGGAGGCGTTTGCTACGGCAGTAGAGGGCATAAGTGCGAAGAGTCAGTATAAACTGGAAATGTCAGTACATGTATATGGTTCTCGCCATAAAATTCTACTCACGGCCAACGAAGATTTGCTGGAACAAAAGGAGCAATTCTCTGTATATTAAATATGGCCGACAGCTAGGATTTTGTTGAGCAAAACAACACATGTTCAAGAACCAGAATTGAAACCTCTGTAGAAATAAGATATGAGCCTGCCAGCTGGGTACGCGCATAACAAAACTATAGCACCTGGTCTGAACTGGGCAGAACATACACAAATAACATATAGACATTGCCGAACAGAGCAAAATAGCGATTGGTGAGAAATAACATTGCAGATAGTGATTTCGAGCGACACCAGATGAAAGTGATTTCATCTGTGATTGTTACCATATGGTCGTATATCAGGATACCTAGAATGTTGTGTTATCATCCTGAGGCCAAGATAAAAAGTCATAGTACTGTCTGCCACGAGAACGGCGTATAACTTGAAGCTCATCGACCTGGGAATGCTCAAGATCAAGACACATCAAATCCGTACATTACTCACGTCTGCTGTAGTTCACCGCGATGAGACAGAGCACAACAAGGAAAGGTGTTGACGAGAGGGCATCTGACGATGTTATAATATCCACCCTCAGTTCAAGTTGGGCATACTAGGCACACACAGTCACACGCAGGTAACGTCACGGATTGGCGTGTTGAATACGTCTTGACATCGATTGACAGACTCCTTGGGAACATCACCCAGGGAAGCCCAGCCCAGGAAAGCCGCCCAGTCTAAGGTAAGGGATCTCCTGGCTATTCTGAATTGAAATAGAGCGTCTTGTTCGGAACTTTAGAAGCAACATACAAATGAAAGACAGTACGAGCGCATGCAACGAAAGCATCAGATGGACCAGATATGACTAGCACCGATGATGATCGTAAGTTCGTGGTCGTTGCGAACCCTTCAGGGATACGGCATGGTGAGCTCGTTCAGATCACAGTCTGAGTAGATTATGCATACATAGATCCTGAATGAAGGTGACATGGGTGTTATACCACGTAACGGCACTCGGTCGCGCCAATCCCCGACACATGTGCATCATGAGTTATATCTCTACAGTCTCTACCAGTAGTAAGTACAGGTGAAAACAGAACGGACATAACATTGTGTTTACTATCATTAAGCATCTTACGGGAACGCCAATCATAGCAGGCACACGGTGAGCATATCGGCTCGGCCTCGTTCCCCAGCCAGCCGACATGCTCACAGCGACAAGAAGCAGCCTAAGGGTCAGTACTGTACAACACTTGGCACACGAAAGTTGGATTTATACCACGCAGGTGACAGACAACAGGTGAGCGTTCGACAAGAAACATGGAGCATGCACTGTCTGCAGTAGATAAATAAAACATTTATTTACTACAGAACCCCCTCCCGATGACCATATACACAAGGGATCAAGCTAGCTGGCAACAGCGACAAGATCTTATTACAGTTGTTTGCAAAAAGGTTGACAGTAGCGACATTTTGAGAAAGAACAAAACAAATAAATAATAGCCACATACATAGGGTCAAATAACACGCGCATATACTTGCAAACGCTTGACGCAATGTATGCCTCCCGTTTCGCGCCAGAGCTTGAGGATCCGCCAGAACGTGCATTCCGAATCTCCGACGCAAGCAAGAATGTCTTCGAGTGCAAGGTGTTGATGCTTGTGAAGATTAATTGCGGCTAGTCGTGACTGATTTTCCGATACATGATGGTCAATTTATGATGTATGTATGTGGCTATTAATCTATTATTTATTTGTTTTGTTCTTTTCTCAAAATGTCGCTACTGTCAACCTTTTTGCAAACAGCTGTAAAAGTCAATTCAATCCAGATCACTTCAACAACATTGGGTATTGAACACTATTTGCCGATTACAATTATGCTTTTAACTACATACTACGCACATCAATACTTTATCCTGAAGCTTGAAGTTCCGTCAGACAGACGCTCCACTCGCTGGATCCAGCTTCACCAGACTGCAAGCAGCCCGGCAATGCACAAACCCAAACGTCCTCGAGATCCCCGCAAGCGGAAACCATGTTCTCTGTCGAACGAGTGAGCGCTAGTGTCATCCAGCGGAATTGAAGGATGTGGCATGTGTAAACATGCGAGACTCGAGTTAGTTTCTATAAAATAGATCCTAGCTGAGTATGTTCTGAAGAACCAAAAAAGTTCGAGGCCAGGTTTATATAGTTTTCTGTTGATGGTCTGTGCGTGGAAAATTTGCTGTAGTGTCACGCTTGTTTTGGAAGGCAGCGGTAGCTTTCAGCCAGGCCGAGATGTGCGCTCCAGATACAGGCTAAGACCAAACATGTATTCCGACACTTGTATTCTTATGATCTGATTCAAGGTTGGACAAATCTCAACTAAGGACGACTAGTCGTGCCACCGTTAGTCTGATATTCAAACCAGAATCATGCGCGTGCCCTACACCTTCACTAACCATCCAGATAGTTGGACCTGCCAATTTTGTTGTGCAGGGTTTACATACTGGAGCAGTCCGTTTGGTGCGTGGGTCAATGATTCCACTTGAATTCCCTTTGCTACATTTTCTTCGGCACAGTCGTAGCAAAAGTGCCATACAGATGTTCTTTCGAGCAAGTTCACCATGCACAGAATGAAGGGGATGGCTGGTAGATCGACCAAGAGATAGCAGTGATAATGGAAGAAACGATATGAGATCCGAAACGCCTACACGTGTTGGGTTTACAGACGCTACTCATCACCCCATACACAAAATCTACAACGCAGCGATATCACTTGAACGTACGCTCCTCGTCAACCTGAAACGCTACTGATCATCTATCTCTGTATATTTCAACACGGGATGTCAGGGCGGCCTGATTCAGATGTAGTGAGAGATCTCACTAAGCACTTTGAGAGGGCAGCCGGCGCAGACGCAGACAGCACCGGGGTCCAGCACCGACGTGGACGACGCAAGAACACACTGGCCGAATGGATGCGGTGTGTGCTCATAAACCAAGGTATGAGCGTAATCGATATTTCATCCGTAGAACATTAGGATGTTCATTATATTAATCAATGACATCGCTCTGAAGGAATGTGGATCAGATTGACTCCGATCAAAATTTCACTCGCACGACCACACACATGTATTCCAACACTTTGTATTCTTCCGGTTCAAGGCTGCAAGTACAAATCCCAGCCAACAGCAATCTTGAGTTGTTTCCCCGTTATTTATACGACTTGATACAATCGCACCCCGTCGAGAAACTAACGACAGCGATGTGAACATACGTGCCCGCCGCCGCTGCCGTCGCGCAGGGTTTACAGACTGGAGTTTTACATTTGGTGCACGGACCGACGAGTTCCACGTATTTTTCCTTTGCTACATCCTCTGGGGCTTCTTCGGCACAGTCGTGGCAGAGGTTCGAGGCTCTACAGCCGCGACATCCCACAAGGTACGAGCATCCATCGCAAAATGGCCTGTTGCAGCGAAGACAACGTAAAAAGAAGCCGCCTTTTTCCGTGCAGAGGTCGCACGTCCAGGTTTCCTCGCATAGACAGGTTGTGCCGCCGACGACACAATCGATACAGATGTCGCTGTACCAGCAGCGGTGTCCTGCAGCACATGGCCGCCAGCGCATGCAAGATAAAGGAAATGCAACGCAGTTGCGCGCAGGACACATAACTTTCAGACAAACCTTGCATTGGAGAAGGTCCGATCGACAAAGATCACATCGATGACTGTGTCGAGGGTCTGTGCTCTCGGTAAGGCCTGTATTCATAAGAAGCTCGTGAAATTTCTGATAAGCCAATGATTTGCATTAAAAAAAATAGGTCAATGGTGCGAATTAGCTCTCACCTGCATTTGAACTCGTTCCCACACCTGACCCGCAGGGTAGCTCTCTGGTTCGTCTATTTCGTATCCGGAATCTATGTCGTATTCTGGGTCATTTGGATCTGGGGTAAACTGAGACCTCACAACGGCGAAATCGCAGATGTCTGTCACGGTTGGCACGAGCTCAGGCGGGACGGGTATACGTGATCCTTGTATCAAGTCCTCGATTTGCATAGACGGTAATATGATAGCAAAGCGTGGAGAGGTCTGGTTGGATAGACCAAAATGGATGAAAAGGCTTGATAATACAGAAGGTTCGCTGGTTTCTTCTGAATCTTCATAACCAAATGTTGCGGTATGTTTTCCTTCATGGATCCCCGACGGTTCATTTTGCGGATCCAGAAGTCCGTAAACGGTCCTCATGATACGAAATAATTTCACAATCATTGGGTGACAATAATACTGATCAAGGTCTTCCATGGTTGGCGGGATGATGGTCCAGCTAGGCATAGTGAAGCGGAATTCGTGATTGCAAGCGGAAATGATAATAAGTCTAGTAGCAGTGAGAGGTGCGTGAG